CTCAAGATCCCTCTTCTATGTGATTGGGCTTGGACTATATTAACCAGAGAAGTTCTGTAACCATGGATCAATCCAAATGCAGCACAGCAGGGAGGACATGGCTAGTTAGTATGCTCCATCACAAAAGAACAGCTTTGACAAAGAAGTTGAGAAATGAAAAGGAAATCCTCAATTCACCAATGCCTATTCTTTCCCTAATATAGTATCCTTTCTGATTATGTACTGGCTTCCTCAGCTTTAGATTCCTGAAAGGAAAAAATAAAATAAAACCCTCTCCCACCTCATACATTGTATTTGGATTTAGTTTCTGTAGACACTGATTTAACAAAGTAGGCTATTTATTCCTTCAGATCACAATGCTGAACCCATTCTCTTTTCTTACTAGAGATCTTTTCCTAAGGGCCTATTAATTGTTCTTAATTACTACCATATATTGACTCCATTCATAGAATCATAGGATTGAATTATAAGGAACCTTAGAGATCATCCAGTCCAACCACTCTATTTTTTCAATGAAAAAACTGAGGCCCATTGATATCAACTGGAACATCGCACAGGTATAAAGAAGGGGATTTGAACCCAGGTTTTTTTTACTCTAAACCCAGTGCCTATTTTACTACAGTACACACACACACACACACACACACACACACACACACACACACACACACACACACACTCCCAGACGATGAAGATTGTACAGAATCATTCCTCTAAGACCTCAGCTTTTGCTCCTAGGTAGAAAGTTGCTGGTAGAAGATGAGGCACAAAACAAAAATTCATAGTCCAATATTCAGACTTGTCTACTGATGCCTTCAGAAACAAATTTTCTTCATCTTCCTTTCTTTTCAACATAGCTTGTTTCCAGTGTCAAAGGGAGATAAGAGAAGGAGTAGTAGTAGTAGGTAGTAGTGATGATGATGATGATGATAGCATTTATATACAACACTTTAACATTTACAAAGTGCTTTACAAATGTGATCTTATTTGATATATCCTTCAACTTTCCTAAAGCTAGGCGTGCCATGCGTACTCTCAATCCCATCCCACTGTAGCTTAATTCCTCTAGCATCTGCTTCCTCATCATATACTCTGTACCATCTACAATCGATTTTTTTCTAGGGCTCTTCTACTTTGTCTCAACAAAAACAAACTTTTCCTTGGCCTTGCAGCACCCTCTAGTGACCATCCCAATTCTTCTTTCTTTCCATTATAGAACTTTTACGAAATGTGATAGAGGAGGAGCCACAGCTCTTCTTTATCTCTGTTCTTTCTCTTTGAGACCTCCTCTATCTCAAGCATAGGTGACTCCCAAATCTACATAGAATTGTGGGATTTAAAGCTGGAAAGGACCTGAGAATTAGCCTGGTCCAACCCCTTCACTTTGAAGCAAAATAACTCACTCAAAGTCAACAGTTATCAACAGGTCCTCTGACTAAATTCATTGCCCTCTCCACCACAATATATCATATTTCTCACTTTGACCTCATATTCCAGTCCTATTTCCAACTGCCTACTGTAAGGACCCCTAGAAGCCTCCCCACTTGACTAAATAAAGATGCCTCCAGGGAAGCTCAAATCCCCAGAGACACTTTGCTAAAATAAGGCATTCAGTGACTCTGCAAAGCCCCCTTTCATGCAACCCAGGAGACTGCTTATCAATTAGTGGCCAATCCCCCAGGTATTCTTCCTCACCATGAATCAGCACCAGTCTCAGGTCTTAGCTCCCTGCTTCTCCCCTTCTCTCACTATGCCTGCTCCTACTTGACCCAGATATGAACCCTCTCAAACCTTCCTGGATTTTACCAATAACAGGGTGCCCAATTCTACCTGTGGCCCCCATCCTCTAACTGCCCATTCTTACAGTGAGTATTTCCCCTCAATAAAGAAGCCTTGCTTTACTTATTGACTCTGCCTTATAAAGTGTTCTGTGTTTCCTTATTCTGCACTTTGGAATCTAGAGCTGTGGCAAGCTTCATTGCATTAAGATATCCACTGATCTTCAAAGTCCACATGTTTCAAGCTAAACTCATCCCATTCCTCCTAAAACTAGGACTATACCCTAATTTCATACTCTGTCAATGACACAATCATTTTCCTGGTCACCCTGGCCTAAACATTGTAGTTTTTAATTCTGTCATTTGCCCTATGACTTCATAACCTATGTGTTCCCAAGACCTGTCAATATTCTTCCTTTGTAATATCCAGCCTTCTTCTGCATGCCAATTACTTTCAACTTCAGGCCTCTATCATGCAAATTTTTATAACAGACTTCTAACTAACTAGCCTCACCACTCACCACAGTCCATCTTGTTTATTACCCCCAAATTAATCTTCCTCAACTACCATTTTAATCATTAATTTAAAAGTATTTTTCTTCCCTTGCATTTGCATTTTGTACTTTTTCTTTGCTATCCTTGACAGTGTCTACATCATAGGTATGCATACATATTTTGAACTGTATTTTCTTGAATTGCTCTAGGGAAGTTGCTACTCAAAGGAACTGTGTATTGAATTCTTTGGTTTAAAAAAAAAAGAACTCTTTTTTGTAGTGAGAACAATTATACCCTAACTTACCCATTCTAGAAATCCATTATTTTTCTTTGTTTCTTATACTTTTGCTACATAGCTGTCATAAACCACAGGCTTTTTTCCCCATAGAGTTTTGTTTTGTTTTGTTTTTATCTATCATACATTGCACCTCATTTATCCAGGTAGTATTACTGAATAAAAAGCTGTTCCATATAAGTGAATTTTCCACATAAATGCAGTTTACTTCCATAATTTATCATTTAAAAAAACTTAACAATTATTGAGGGGCATAGTTCTAAAATTCCTAAAACACTATCGTCACCTTTTAGTAACCCTCACCCACTAACAATATTGTATTTAACTACCTTGCTTTTTTTTTTTAATTTAGACTCCTCAAACAGAAAGGAAACAGGGGTGTGCTGGAGCTAGCCTGAACTGGTTTAGGTGACCTACTTGTCAAATTTTCAGTTTGAGAATTTAAACCTTAGAAATTTGCAAATGTCATATGTCAAAGTTTGATTTATTGTTTTATTGATCATTACATATAAGAAAGGGATGGAAAAAATGTTAAATAATGCCAATATAACTTAAAGTGGGCTATGGGCACTTTTTTCCCAAGTTCTTTTCTAATATAATTGATTTTAGTAAGCACAACCTCTTCTTTACAGATGATAATACATGGTCAACTTTTAAAAAATCACATAGGATCATTACTACGACTATCATGTACTAATGATACCATTACTACAATAAGACTCTCAGGTGCCATTTGCCCCTCTACTAAATGGCCTCATCTTTGATTTTTGAAGTCTTGTGTAAGAGCAGAGTCCATGATTTCCCCCTCTGCACTTAAAAGGATCCACCTTAGGTATGAACACTCCTAGATTGGTCTGGACACCTTGAATCAATCAAAACCACTGCCAGTTAAAATCAACAGGAAGTCTGTTCTGACTGAGTAAGGTACTTGGTCAAGCCCTGAGGCACTTGTAGAAAACTAGGACTTAGTTCAGAACTAAAGAGAGATTCTGAGGGTCTGGATATGGAAAGGAAATCTTAGGGACATCAAGAACTGACCTAGAAAGAATCTGCAAAAGAAGAAAGATGAAGTAGGATTAAGCTATCACAGAAAAAGGAGAGATCAAAGAGGGTCAATAGCCCTATCTAGATCTCAGATTCAGGCAAAAAGTTCTAAGAAAAGGTCTATTCTCCCCTCAACTTCTTCTCTCAGTGTCTAAGTATTAACAGACATATTAATATATTTTGCTTCTTTTCCCAAGTTGAGCTGTTTTCAGTTGAGCTGAGTTTTGCAGGCCAGGGGTTAGTTAGAAATAAATGTAAGTATAAAATAAGGCATAGAGCCAAATTTCTGTCTAAATGTTAGAAATTTTCCAAACATGGGGCTCCAAGTAATTGCAATCGCAAGTTCTAACTTAATATAAGCTCCATAAAATATTGCCTCTAGGCTTAAAACAATCTAAATATTATAATAGGGTTTTCAGAATTAATGGTTAAACTTAGTCTTTCCCATTTACTTACGGGTGGCCATGATTGGTAGCCACTTTGGTTTCCTTCCCTCTTCCCTTTCCCCTATCTTTCTAATAGGATTCGGGACAAAAAAACAGTTAACCGATTTTGTTAGAGCTGTGTCTAAAATAAGAAAAAAGAGGTTCTGAATGAGGAATTAAGGGGTTCTTTTTGCCATTAGCCCTCTTTTACCTGCTTTTTAGATACTATTTTAAGCTAATGAATAAGCTGTCTCCAGTAAAGATGGCACCGGGTATCCCTTTGCCACTGGGCTAAGTGGTATCAAAGTTATCAAAAATGATGTCTTCATGACAATTAGACACATTTCAATGAGATATTACCTAAGCATAGCATAAATGTGGAGGAGGGTAGTAACTATCCTGTCTCTTGGGCTCTGGGATGCTGATGTTTCTGTATTGATTCCAAACCTCTCTCAAATAAATGACAACAGAACCTTCCTACCTACCATGAGTCTGATTGCTTTCAGATAGCTTTACCATCTACTCAATTGTAGGCAGAACAAAATATATTCATTTTTTTTCTATTGGACTCTTTTACTCACACATCAAGAATAAGATAAATTCAAAATTCTCACTTTAAAATTTTTTTAATCACAGCTGTATTGGCTTTTCAACACCATATATGTGTATATTCATACATACACACATACATACATACACACACACAAACACACACACACACACACACATATATGTATTCAGACATACTCTATGTATTTTTCTTACCTAGTAAATGCATTGCTCAGCCCCAGGAAAAGGATTAATGCAGTTTTTAAGTTCTGAAAATTCGTGATTTATGGGTCTTACTGTCCAACAATCCTTAGCAATCAGTCTATTTCCTATTTCAAACATTTGTAATTCACCTGGGATATTATTATTCAAAAAGCAATTCAAATTGAATTGGAGGGGGGAAAATATGCTTACAGTGGCCAATTCATCAAACTTCCCAAAGAGTTCATTCAGAAGCTTCACCAGCTCTTGAGCAGTGCACTGGGATGCCAAACTAGTGAAGCCCACAATATCTGCAAACAAAATGCTGCAAAGAGAAAAAAGGAAACATTAGTGCCATGTGTGTTCTCCAAACTCATAATACTCCCAAATACAGCACACTTCAGAAATGCACACAAAGTAGCTGGAGAACACTGAATAACTCAGCATTCTGAGATCTGATTCAATTTGTTTGTGACAGCTTTAGGGGAAAAAGTTAAGGTCTATTCCAAGTTCTGAAAGCCTCATCCAGTGGAATGCTGGGAAAAGCGCTAGATTTGGAGTTAGAGGCATTGCATTTGAATGTCCATTTTGCTACTTACTAGATGGATGATCTTGATCAGGTCATTGAGCTACTCTGAACCTCAGTTTCCTAATTTGGAAAATGAGAGGTGGGTGAACTAGATCAGTTGTTCTTAACATTTTTGTTAAGATGTTAACATGTTTGTGTGTGATGCACTCATTTGGCAGTCTGGTGAAACCTATAGATCACCTTCCAGAATATTTTTAATACATAAAATAAAATATATAGGATTATAAAGGAAACTGATTATATTGAAGTACAACTATCCATTTATTTAAAAAAAAGTTCATGGACCTCAGATTAAGAAGCTTTAGATTAAATGATGTATAAGGTCAATCAATAAATTAACTTTTATTGAGCACCTACTATGTGTCAGGCAATGTGCTAAGTGCTTTACAATATTATCTCATTTGATACTCAGCACAACCCTGGGAGGTAGGCACTATTACTATGCCCATTTTATAATCCATACTGCCTCTTCATATTACAAAGTCATTAAGACTTTGGTCAGATCAGCTGAAAGATTACATATTTACTGTTTTTGTTCAGTTGTTTCAGTTGCGTCTGACTCTTTGTGACCCCATTTTCTTGGCAAAGATACTGGAGTGGTATGCCATTTACTTCTCCAGCTCATTTAACAGATGAGGAAACTGAGACAAAGAGAGGTTTAAGTGACTTATCCAAGGTCACATAGCTAGGAAGTTTCTGAGGCTGGATTTGAACTCAAGTTTTCTTGACTCCATCCACGGCACCACCCTATCAGGCTTCAAACCTATGATCACATATTCACTTTCTACTCCTACACACTGTTTTTGGAAACTCTGTGGCACTATCACAAAACAACATTGAACATATGTAGCTGATTCCTCTACTCATCCCCGGATGACCCAACTGTATTTCACCTATTGGAGCAGAGCATTCACTACTGTTTGGTTTTTTTTGTCTTTGTATCCCCATTACCTAATGCAGTATCTTATACATAATAGATGCTCATGCAGTTGAATGGTTGAGAAACAACAGGACAAAAAACCAGGCAACTAGCCATGCACATTCCGTAGAAGACTGATCCTCAGGTGAGGACACTTGGTGAGAGCAAACATACACCCACAGTAATCTGAGGAGTCCAGGGAGGATAGGATTCTGATCCAACACTTGACACAGGGCCCTGGTACCTAAAAGGTGTTTAATAAATGCATGCTAACTTAATCCATTGCCAGGTTTTAAGTTGCTCAGAACCAGATTCTGGGCTATGGGACACATACAACCCAGCTTTGATTCCCTAGCCCTCATCTCCACATATTCCTATTAACTTCCTCTAGTCAATAAATGTGAAGATTCTTAAGGTCTCTTAATTGTCAATATTTTCTCTGAGTTTTTTTTAATTGTGTACAGATGACCATGTTATGTAGGCAATAAATGATGGGGAATAAGCCTGGGTGTTATAATTAAGTAGAATGTACACAAGTTAATTTGACATATTTAATGATAAAGAAAATTATCTGCCATATGATAATTATGCATAAATAATAAGCAATTTATGTAAATGACTAATTATTTTCAGAGGCACACCACATTTTTATAGTGTTTTCCTCTCTCTTTAGTTCTATTTCTATTATTAGCATAATGCCAATGGTTTTCCCTGATGCCATCTTATTTAGCTTTATTTTCCTCTCTCTCTTCTTTCTCTCTCTCTCTCTCAGAAGGATTCAAGGATCACAAACTTAGAACATGAAGGGACCTTGGGGTTTATTTCATCTGACTCCCTCATTTTATGTGAGAAGCCCAGGAAAATTAAGTCATTTGCTTAATGTCACGCTGGTAATAAGGCTTTGGACCCAGCTTCCCTCATTCCAAATCAATACTCTTTTTTCATAGATATATACATTTTTGTGTGCACACACACATATACTTTAAAAGATAAAAAGGGTTGGTTTGGGCTTACTACTACCAAGGGGTCCCATAACCATGTCCTTTGAGTCATTTTTCAGTGATGTCCAATTCTTCATAACCCGATTTGGGGTTTTTTTGGCAGAGATACTGGAGTAGTTTGTCATTTCCTTCTCCAGTTCATTTTACAGATGAGGAACCAGAGGCAAACAGGGTTAAATGACTTGACCAGGGTCACACAGCTAATAAGCATCTGAGGCCAGATTTGAACCCAGGAAAATAAGTCTTTCTAACTCCAGAGTGCAGACTTTATCCACTGTCTCCCTAGCTGCCCATTAACAATGACCACGTGGGCTGAATCAGGGCCTTCTTACTCTCTAATGCTTCATTCTAGGAAAGGTAAAATAATGGCATACATTAGAACTAGGGGATTTAAGCTCTGCCAAATGTTGATGCTGTTTTTACAAAACCTTTTCAGGTCATATTACAACAATTCCAAAAGGAGTTTGCCAATTTCATCAGAATTTTCTTCTATCACACAAGTTTCTGTGAATTGGTTTATTTCATTTTTTTATATTGGAGTCACAGTACAAACACGCAGGAAACTAGGCAGCACAGTAAATAGAGCTCTGGGCCTGGAATCAGGAAGATTCAAATCTGGCCTCAGACACTCACTAGCTGAGTCACCCTGGGCAAGTCACTTAAACCTGTTTCCTTCAATTTCCTCAATGAGTTAGTGAAGGAAATGACAACCCACTCCAGTAACTTTTCCAAGAAAACCTTAAATGGAGTCATGAAAGTTGGACAACTTTCATGGACAACTGAAACAACTGAACAAAACCAACAAGAAATATGTAAAATTTCAGCAGATCTGACCAAAGGTAGCATGGGATAGTGATAAGATTGCTGCACTTGGAGTCAGTACAGCCGAGTTCAAATCCAGTCTCTGACACTTATTTCCTATGTAGCCTCTTGACCCCTCTGAGACACAGTTTCCTTGACTGTAAGATGCCAATAACAAGATGGGAATAATTTTTTCCCCCATCTCATAGGGTTTGTGTGAAGCTAAATCAAAGCTCTATTTGAATGTTCATTGTGATTAGAAATTCTTTAGAATTATTAATGTTTTTATACTTTGTAGTATTATAGTTTAGGAGGGAAGGCTCTAGGAACTGGGGTGGGTCAGAAGAAACTTCCTATAGATGGCATTTGAGCTGGCTCTTGAGGGACCCCAGGGATTCTAAGAGGTAGAGGGGAGCATTCAGAATACAGGGGACAGCTATGGCAATGTCATATAAAAGGGAAATGGAGACTCATGTACGAAAAGAAGTGAGCCATGCCATCACTGTAGAAGTTTGGTGATTGGCATGCCATATTCATGTCAAGTGCTTCCTCCCCAGAACCATATGAGTCCTCCACTTGAAAAATCTTTTAGCCTTAGCTCAATGTAGTGGGAAGAGGCCTATTAACCCCAGCCGCTCAAAGTCTGGCAGATAGCTCTTTCTTCAGGGTCATTTGTGACAATCTCTCTTCACTCTTTGGGCATTCCCATTCCTTTTCCTGGAATGAAGCATTAGAGATTAAGGAGACATTGATTCAGGCCATTTGGATATAGTTATAGGAACCCTTGATGGTCATAAGCCGAAACCAAGCCTTTTTCATCTTATGAAGTAAGTGTGTGTGTGTGTGTGTGTGTGTGTGTGTGTGTGTGTATGTGTGTGTGTTTGTGTGTATAGTTGCTGTTCAGTCATTTCAGTGGTGTCCAACTCTTCATCATCCCATTGGAATTTTTTTTTAAGCAAAGATACTGGAGTGGTTTGCCATTTCCTTCTCCAACTCATTTTACAGAGGAAGAAACAGGCAAACAGGGTTAAGTGAGTTGCACAGGGTCACACAATTAGTAAGTGTCTAAGGTCACATTTGAACACAAGTCATCCTGATTACAATCCTAGCACTCTATCCACTGAGCCTCCCAGATGCCAAAAAGATGGGAGAAAGGGAGGAAGGAAGAGGCAGAGACGAAGAGGGAGGAAGAGAGGGGGAGAGAGGGAGAGAGGGGGAGAGAGGAGAGAGAGAGAGAGAGAGAGAGAGAGAGAGAGAGAGAGAGAGAGAGAGAGAGAGAGAGGTGAAGAGAGGGGAGGAGTACTGTATTTGGAATCAGAGTAGAAGTTAAAAGCCCTATTGAGCTAGAGTTGAATTCTATGAAGGAACTTTTTGTCTTTAGGAAAAGGCCTAGTTACCAGGTCCTAAGTGTTCTCCTTACCTTTAACCTCTGTAGGGATTTTAGAACCCTCCCCTGGTTCAGATAATATTTCTAACAAAGACAGTGGATTGTCTAGATCTCTGTATGCTCTGGAAAGAAACTCTTCCACTAAATTCTATGTGGTTTTTAAAGAGCTGCCTCCAACAAATATAGCCCTTTGTGTATTAGGCAAACCCAATCCCAGGAATCCCTTGTAAGGACTGAATTTCATCATTTTTCGCTAGCAATACAACTGCTAGAAAGACATGGTGCTAATTTTAGCTTAATTTGTGATTACCAATGAGTGCAGTAATGCTACAAGATATCAGTACTTAAGCTCATAACAATGAGAAATCAATAAGCAAGTCTGTACAGCATAAGTTTAAAACATTATCATAAAATAAGAGGGACACAAAAAAAACAGTTCAAAATAGGAGTCTCAGCAGGAAATTGCAATTTCTGTAAAATAATCAAGGAAATTCAGTCATAGGAACCGTCTGGACTACAGTAAAAACCTATATTAAGGGAAAAAAAAGATCCCAAACTAAGTGAAGATTTTGACCTAAAAGGGACCTTACAGGCCTTCTAGAGCAACTTCTCCTTTTCCAGATGAGGA